CCGCTGCCCCCCTCCCACAGAAGAGCCCACGGCAACAACAAACACTCACCTGCCTCACGCAGCCAGCTCGTCGATGGAGGTGGCCGGTGCCCTGGATAACTCGTCCGGCGGGAAACAACTCCTCCACGTGGCGCTTCATGCCATTAGCCTGGCGGAGGGGCGGGGTGATTGTGGCTTGCGGGGCCGGCTTCCCTGTTTCCACCCGGGCAGTAGTGGCACTGGCACCGACAGGAAGTGGAGCCGCAGCCAAGACCTGACGCCGTCTCCATAGTGACCGTCAGCGCTGTGGAGCAGCGAGACTGCCGCTGGGCTCTGTAAGTAACGGCCCCGGCCGCCCTCCAGCGCTCGTTCCCGGCCCGGGGTGAGTGGGTCTGTCTTTTCACCCCCACTTTCTCTCCAGTGGTTCCGTCTCCTGCTGCGAGAAGATACCGGCGTCCACCTTGCCCTCCCTCGCTCGCTGTGCCGGAGTCCGGGCCGCCCGATACCCCTCTCTCCCCTCAGGGACTTTATCTCTAGGTGCGGGAAGACCCTGGGCTCACCGGATCCGTTTTGCCTTCCCTCGTTGCAGGCTTCTCCCTGACCCCCGCCAGTATGTCGGAGATCGGCACACACTATCGGGTTACCGCTACCCAGCGGCTCCGGACAGCGTGTGTCTGGGGAGGAAACCGCGGCTGTCACCGTGACTATCCTGCCGCTTTATCGCCTCCTGTACAAGCCGTCCCAACGCTGTGAGCTGAGGAAGTTGGTGGTTTCTTTCTAGGAAGTACTTGTGCTAAACGGGAAGGAGGAACATCCCCTTAATGAAAAAGATGAAGCTCAGGAAGCAGACTTTTCATGGTGTAATGACGTTTCCTTTTATTAAAAAAAAAAAACAACCAAACAAACCACCACAAAGACCCCCACAACCAGCAAAAAAACTTGGGTTGCTGCTGTAGACTTCAGTTTTTGTGATGTCAGTCAATCCTAGTTAGCAAAATCTCTAAATATTAGTCCAGACAAACTCAGTTCAGCTATACCTTTAAATGTGTAGCATACTTCCTTTGACAATGTTTTTATGCAACACGTTTGAACTTTTTGTCATTATTCATACCCTTTGAACTGTTTAAGTAGAGCAGCCAGGCTGTAGTAAGAACTGGGAGTGTTGTTCCTGGCATATTGTTCCCATTAACACAAGTGCAGGAAGGGTGTGGAATAATCAGGGTGGAACAATAAACATGGAGAATCTATTTGAATTTCAGCATGGATGGTGGAGACTTTCTGGGTAGGTGAGAAAAAACTACTCAAGACCTATGCATCAAACTGATTTTTGTCTATCCTGGTCATCAATGTCTCTACAAAATAGTCAGTAAATTAGTATTTTGCCCTTTTTTGCACTTTTGTAGGTCAGGTCAAACTTGTAACATGAGTGTCCCTAACAGTAACATTTGTAACATGAGTTGTCCATATTGTCAAAGGGA